TAACACAGAGATCATTCTAGAATGTGATTTCCTAATTTAGTAAAATCCCTGACTGTATTAGACACTTATCCGAATTTCGAAAAAAACTTGGTCGAAAGGTTTATTATTATTTACGATTCGAAGTTTATTTTGGTTTCATTTCTTATTATTATTTTTCACTTATTGTGCACGTATTCAATAAACCATTAGACCTACTATAACATATCACTTTATTCAATATGTCCTGTTTAGTCGCTAAATCCTTAATTTGAAAATAAAAATAACGAAGTTTTAATAATTTATAGCATTGATTTAACAAATTTGATTGGTTATTGATTGAGAATGGATATCTATTTAGATTTTGGTTCCGATTTCCAAACCCAAACTATGTAATAATGTCATAATTCAAAAAAGGCTTGGATCGCAGCCCTATTGTATGTTAGCCAGAATATGTACTTCCACCAGAAGGACCATGACTACCAACTGAAGGCGGATGACTTCCAGTAACTGTGTGTGAACTAGTCGGGGTTCCCATCCCCGGAGCGCCAGGAGCACCTGCACCAGTGGGTTGGTTGTAGCCGTACGGAAAGTATTGACCATACGCGTCATATCCGTTATAAGAATATTGCTCCCAATTAGCAGTAGGATGTTGTTGTTGACCTGCGACTACCGCAGCAGCAGCAGCACCATCAAGAGATGCTAAAGATGGCGGTGGCGCAGACATGCCAGGTGGAAGATCATATCCACTTTCACTTACGGGTGTGGCATAAGGATGTGCAGTATGATTACTATAATATCCGTATGGATAGTTGTAAGCCGTACTTGGTACACCATATGTATGGTAGGAAGCCGTGGCTTGCTCTGGTGCCCTATCTTTTCCCCATGAGCACTGAACGTGAAGATGAAAATATTGTTAATAAATCTTATCATAAAAGGAACATCTATTCGTAAATAATAAGTTACTTTAATAATTCGCCCATTGATACTCGTATTTTGCAAATTTACGATTGCATTCGCAGCATTCTCGTGAGAGTCTAGTCTATAAGCGGAAAGAAGATCAATACATCGAATGAAACAAAAACATTCCTTTAAACTTACTTCACAAAAGCAAAACCACGATCAGCTTGCATGCGAACTTCGATGATATATCCGAAGGGCT